AAAATTATTGATGTAATCATGAGTGTGAGACTATGAATGAAAGAAAGACTTACATCCAACAGTTAATCAAAGACGAGTATTTCCATAAATGTGCAAGGGTCACTTGAATTCAATGTTATGAAATGAAAAATAGGAAAACAATCAATGCTGCTCTAATACAAAGAATTGAATTGGAATCTTAAAGTTTTTGACCATTGATTAAATTTATAATTGATAGATTTATTTTTAGTAATATTCAGCCAATGTATCAAATTTTATTGAACAACTTATCAAAATGTTTTACTTTAAATAAAGAAAAAAAAAACTTCTCTTAGTTCCATTGTTAAAGTGAACGATAGCATTTATTTATCAATTATGAATCGTTAAATTTCGACAAACTGAATCGATAAAACCCGGTCCAGGTAATGGAAAGCAAACTTGTGGATAATGTCGACAACAGTCAGCATTACATTTGCCATCTATATCACATGATTCGACAATGAAAGGACGTTGTTTTACAGGTGAGCAGTCAGTTCCACGACAACACGTACAGGTACAACGACCGGAACTATTCACATTTTGAAGTATTACGAAGAAGAACAATGCAATGATGACAAGCAGACGCATTGTTAACTCGTAAATTTTGAAAGTAACTCTGAAATGTAACAGAAATCTTACAACTTTTGTTATGGTTGCTTTTTGTGGAGTTAAAAAAATATGATGTGTGTGAAAATATATATTGTGATAAAAAGGTGTATCTCTATTTACTCAGATATGTGACACATGCTTTATAATCTGATAACATAGAATCAAAACAATCTTGTACGAATATCTAGAGAGTGATTTAACACTTCATATTTGATATGAAAGTTGCGGACTAACCGACATGTAATTGTATTAAGAATAATTGATGAATGTGATTAAAAATTAAATTAATATATAAAACACGTATTTTTCGCAACTAATTAATGCGATCTCACTTTTATATTCAACTCATACAAAAATAAATTAATGTAACAAAAATCATTTAAATTGTTTTTGGATAGTCTAAGTTAATATATCTTACTTTATATAAATATTTTCAGATTATTTGTAAAATGTCATCTACCATGTTTTTGAATAACTCGTGAATAGTTTTACTGATTAATTTCAGTTCATTATCACTTACTGTTATGAAGCAAAAATAAAAAAAAAGAATGTACTATTTATTCTGATCAGAGTATGGCTGTTGGTGGTTTTTTTCACTAAGCTTTATTGAAATTGGCATTTGTATAGGAAAGCAACGGTTGATGTTGAACAGATCAATGAACTCAATTGACTTGTACTCTTACATTGTCAACATTTAATTTTTCTACATGGGTTCTACTGAATAGAATATTTTATTACATTTTTAACTGAAAGTTATAAATGAATATTTCTTTTCTTTAGAATAAAATCGACCTTTGTCAAAACCTATTAGAATCAAAGGAATAAAGAGTTCAGTAGATCTCAATTGAATGAGGAATTATTTTTGAAGTCTATTCAGTTCTAATAGAGTAAAGAATCCAATAGAATATGGAAAAGCATATTTATAAAAATGTCCATTTACTGCTCTTGATGGAATTAAATAAATCTCTACGCCATGATTTGAACTTTTGTTACTGATTAGTACACAATCAATAATTATGACAATAAAAAAGAAAGTTAATTTTAGATCTGTCTTGGTGTGTGCAAGGAATCGTGCCGTATATGTTAGTGAATATATCAATGTTGCAAAATATGTGAGTAGTATTTTGAATAATCAATTGGTGTTCCCTTGAATGTAGAATAAAAATAATATGTTAAGCATAAAGATAAAAATGAAAGTTACACTTACTATGGCAAAAATATTAAGTAGAGTCCGAATTTTTCAGATTATTATCCATTCGACGTCGTATATGATGCCATTAAGAATCTACCTGAAAATTGCACTACGTAACATTCGATATAATTTTCGTAAAGAGAAAATGATTTTCTTACTGATACAAATATTTATTTGTTCGATTGCTCTTAGATCGTTTTGTGCAACAATATCATCTTTAACCAATGAAAGTTGATTTTGTGTAATTGACAGTCTAGAAATTAAGATCTTTCATATAATGACTGACTCCTTGATGCAATTGTCGGAACTATTGAGCGTAATTAGCATGTAGCAAAATATGTCTAAACCCATTAGAACTAATAAAACAACTGATGAGTTTGAGACATTGTTTGAGAAATATATAAAAACTCCTTAATTGCAGAGTTGATATTCTTATTAAAACACTGGAAAAGTATGTCTATGTCTAAAAAACGAACTATCGTATCGATAAGTTCACTTAAGCATGTACATTGACATCAATATGCTTTAATTCATTCAATCGTTCGTTGAATTTCTCGAACAACTTCGACGATACCGCATAACAAAAGCGTTAATGCTTTTGGAATAAGTTAAATTTTGTCTAATAATAGAAAAAAACTTTGTTAACTAGTATATGTTTAAATAATAAACATATAGCTACAAAATATTACATTTACAATGTAGCTATAAAAAACATTTAATTTTAGTCATCTTTTTTATTTGTCCTTCCTTGACAGAGATGAGCAGTAAACTTTTATGTAATTGAAACAAAATTTTCAGTGTAAGCAAAATCATGTTTCATCCTTTTCTTCCTATGTCTTGTATTTACCTTACAGTAATTCATAATATGAATCATTATTGACCATGTAGGACGTGATTTTAATTATAAAGTTACAAATCATTTGAAGCTTTTGCAGGAGAAAACGAGCTAATTAACAACCAATATAGCAGCTACTAATTTCGTGCTTTTAACGTTTGGTTTTTATCTTAGATACACTTCAGTAAAATTGAAAAAAAAGGATAGATTACACTCATAATCCTATCTGTGAAAAATATGATGGTTTTTGATCGAAACAAATAAGTTTTTCACTTCAAATTTCGATGCATATCTTCGAACGAGTAAACAATAACTTGAGAAAAATTCCTTATTTTAAAATTTTAATTGGCATTGTTTGTAATGTAACGAATGTTTCATCACTACAAGAAAAATTGAACGCTTTACTCTGTTTGTAAACACGAAGAAGCGAAGAAAATATTTTACTACTGAATTATTAGAAAAAAAGAATCTTGTTTAAGATTAACCGAACTTTTCAGTTCATTGTGATTGAACAAAGAATTAAAAAATAATGCGAATCAAAGCGAATAAAAACAATCCTTTCACAACAAGATTTCAATTTCTTCGAAAATAAGATTGACTTAAAATAGGGAGTTCACACAGAAGTTTTTTCTATCGAGATAACAGATAATTACAAAGTTTTATCAACTATAAATGTTTGATCATTTTTTTCTTTGATTTCAAAAGTCATAAAACTCGGCAAGAATTACAAGTCATATTATCAAACAGCCTTTCAATATCTGTCAAACTAAACCTTTTAATACGAACAGTTAGAAAATAAGAACAATTGTAATTATCTATTATTTCAGTTCAAAAAAATGAATTAATAAAACGTTATTCGGAGAATGATAATCAAGAAGAAAATGTTACATCAACAACAAACTCTAGTAGAACTATTTGATTGTTCATGGCATCTTGAAATATCTATGCTAATCACTTGTTCGATATTAGTTCAATGATCATTTTTTTCGATTTATTTCATTGAAAGACTTAGAGTTGCTAAAAAGTTTCGATAAAATCAAATAAAAATATTCAGATAAAGAGATATTTTTTATTTTTGTTTATCCGATGTTCACAATAAATGCCATAATGATTGGTGCAAAGTTCAATCCACACTAAGTATTTGTCAAACGTCGTTTAAATTCTCTTAGAAACCATATGAACTCACCATGTTTTGTTTATTTGATCTAGTAATTTACACTTGATATTATCGTTTAGTCAAAAAACATACTGCAAAACTTGGAGCATATGACAACTGAAATGTTGATTTCAACCCGTTTTATTAAACTGTGGGAGTGGAATCGCTTATTTGATTTTTAAAAGCTACAGTTTTAAGCGGTTTATAAAAATAGAATAGTCGGTCAGGCTTCCGCAGCTTAGTATAACTGTTCAAAACTACAGTATCTCTAAGAACAAATTAGTAGTCTTTTAGACTTCACACAGAAGCATGTTATTTGTTCATAACAAAAAAGTTATGAAATAATATTCCGATAATTTGTTCTTTGAAGGAGAATTCAAAAAGGTCGTGGTGAGTGCAAATCACCTTGATCAATTGCAATAACTGGCATTGCATGGTGCCATCCTCCAGTGACTTGTTGGGAAGTCACATAAGACATATACACCACTTCATCTTGCTGATGAAGCCATTCAAGTATGCAGATCAATTGTCGATGACGTGGTGGAATACAATCAGAAGTACGAAAAGTGTGACGAGAATGACAAATATTATCAACTTCAGTTATTGTCATATTGAAAGTAAGATAGTGATTGATTAATTGATTTTCGACAACGATTAAGTTGGCATCGAAATGACGTGGTATGGTATATAAGACTGAAGAATGAGTCTAAGAAACAACGAAGACATATGTATTAATGAAATAGAAAGATCGTACGACAAACTTTTTTCGGCTTGTCGCAAAATTTGACTGTTGCAGCAATGAGACAATCTGCCAGCAATATCGGGGGTTCTTTGAGTAACACACCATCGAGTTGAATACTCGAATGAATGACTAACGTATAATATCTTGCCCTTTCATCTTTGCTATTGTTATTTGCTTTCCAGAAGCTGACCGAGAATGGAATAATAACATAAATACCCGGTCGCAATGATCCATTCCAATAGGTAAATGTTCCATAGCGGCTCTCTAAAATCACTTCCTTTGTACCAACATTACTTGTTTCTTCTTCTACATTACAAAGGACAAAAGATTGCGTATGCCGACTCTTTCCTTTTCGACTACAACGATGATACACAAGACTCACAGTGATTAACGATGTCCTATGTGATGATCAAAATTGATTAGTTTAAATGGAGCAGAACTGGTTCACTTACTTTGACACTGTAAAATAATAGACAGGAACTGGTTCTATTGGCGATCGAGTAAATTGAGCTTCTTCACGAATATCGAAATGTTTACTGACATAGGTTGAAATAGTTATTGAATCAAAATAATGCAAGAAGCTTAACCATGTTATCCAGAAAATTCCAGAAGAATTCGACATTTCATCATGAATTGAACGTAAATATGTACGAATGAATGGTGTGATCGAAGCTTCCGAATAGGCCGTTGTTCCATGTGGATCACGCACAAGTAGAAAACGACCATCACCGATGGGCAATGCTTTAGTTACCAAGACAGTAAATGCATGATTAGGATTTAGTCCAACACGTTCGTACTCGTATCGACCGATTTCTGAACAACCAGTTGATGCACCAATTAAGAGTCTAGAAATTAGAAATCCTATTTCAAGATAACAATTATGCTTAACAAAAATTCTCTAGATGATTTGGTTTTTATTGCCGTGTGAATAATGAATCAAGATTATATGTCGTCTTTCTTTCTCTGTATTGTTCTTGATAAGCCTTATGATTCACTCTTGTGACCATCGCAACACAAGGAAGCTATGCATCTTACATTTAACATTTCGCAGTGTACATATGTCACATAAGTAGTTAAGTTCCTTTATAATAAAGTTAGTATCGTAGCAAACTAATGGATCTTTTGTACCGATTCAATAGCATCTATTCATTCCTCTTCTCAATGAGGCTTGATCAATGAACTCACTAAAAGATAATGCTTCTGACTTACTTTGATTCGCAAGCTGATAGAAGTTTAGCCCAAATAATATCAAAATCTAACACCTCATTTGATGGATGGAGATTGATACGATCACAAGGCGCGCCAGTTAATAGTTGAAGACCTTCAGCTGTACGGCCTCCTGTCAAATTT